CACGCAACTTCAACAATCGTGCTAAACAAACGCTGTAACGGCTCTCGTGCTCTCGGACTGCAGTTCAATTACTCACTATCTACACAGACATTACATTACCTTCTTCTCGCGTCACGTTGTCCCCTCCTTTATATACCAGTCTACCCTCCATCTAGTAAATACTAGAGCATTCGCCAAGATACGGGATAGTTCTAGAAACGTGGCGTCACACCAGTCATGTGACTCGCTGACGCAACAATATAATAAAGCAAATCATATTTCTCTACTTTGCTTAGTAAACGGTGAATGAAGAGGTGAGATTGGTCAAAACATATTATTACGTTTTTTGTTACCAATATATATATGTAATTATGTACAACAGTAAATAGAAAATAATACAACATAAGAATGTTAACATCTTAATAATCTGCCATTATTTCACATACACACTGTATTTCCCCTGATAAACAATCTACAGCTGCTTTGGTGACCTCTGGCGACATGAAATTGTAATGTCACAGCAAAATTTCTCAGATAGGTCTGGACTTGGGCTGCTCCTGAATTATGTAATTTATTTACGTAACATGAGCTAGGCGCTGTCTGAGTGGTTTAGGTGTTTTTTTATATACAGGTGTAGTAGCTGACACGGTTCAACGTTTTAAAAAAAAGCACTATGTTGATTCAAAATATTTTATTGGGGTGGGGTAAACTTATGACAACTGAACGTGCAGTCTAAAGGATAAAGAAAAAAAAGCAGAGTCGGGGAAATCCCCTCACACGTTAAATCACACCTTGTTATGAGTCAGTTATGGTAATATGTCCTTATGTATATTACTCTATCACAGTGTTGTTAAGTGAGTTATGGTAATATGACCTTTACGTTACTCTGTTACAGTGTTGTTGAGTCAGTTAATGTACTATGGACTTACGTATGTTACCCTGGCACAATACTGTTGAGTCAGTTATGGTAATATGTCCTTATGTATATTACTCTATCACAGTGTTGTTGAGTGAGTTATGGTAATATGTCTTTCTTTACGTTACTCTGTTACAGTGTTGTTGAGTCAGTTAATGTACTATGGATTTACGTACGTTACCCTGGCACAATACTATTGAGTCAACAACACTGTAACAGAGTAACGTAAAGAAGGTCATATTACCATAACTCACTCAACAACACTGTGATAGAGTAATATAGATAAGGACATATTACCATAACTGAGTCAGTTAATGTACTATGGATTTACGTACGTTACCCTGGCACAATACTATAGAGTCAGTTATGGTAATATGTCCTTATCTATATTACTCTATCACAGTGTTGTTGAGTCAGTTAATGTACTATGGACTTACGTATGTTACCCTGGCACAATACTGTTGAGTCAGTTATGGTAATATGTCCTTATGTATATTACTCTATCACAGTGTTGTTGAGTGAGTTATGGTAATATGTCTTTCTTTACGTTACTCTGTTACAGTGTTGTTGAGTCAGTTAATGTACTATGGATTTACGTACGTTACCCTGGCACAATACTATTGAGTCAGATATGGGACTATGTACTTTACTCTGTCACAATGTCCTTGAGTCAGTCATGAAACCATGCACACATGTATTTGTCACGATAGTCTTAGGAAAAGAAGAGTACTGTTTTTGGAATCTCAGGAAAGCATTACTTTTAGAAAGACTTGGGTATGGGATTATGGACAAACACATACATATTTTCATCATACTAATGTATGTAAGACAATTATGTGCTTAGTTTGGCTAACTTTAAAGTCAGAGATGAAACTATCATTACCGGTTACTTACAAGGTATATATATATACGTGTATATAGCTTTACAATGTACTGACCATCGTCTATCTCACATAGTGACACGTAGTTTGATGCCAGAAACTCCGCGTGTTTTTTCCCCAACTACTGTCTATAGCTTATCCAATGTTATTTTAATCCGCACACCAGGAACACTGCTCTATCAGCTCACTGGTGAAGACCTAGACGGAGACACCCTTATCTTTGGAGTCCAGGGTCCAGTGGGTCAAGAGATCCTCAAGGTTGAGAAAACTGGACCTAAGCAGGCAGATGTTTTTCTAAATAAAGAGCTGGACAGGGAGGTAAGACTAGATCTGTTAATTTCTTTCTTTAGTCTTTATTATTGCTAGTTTGACTCTTTGAAAATCACGATCGTTGTAGCAGAGAAAGGAAGGGCTTAAAAGCCCGACTCCATCTTAAAACTATTATTCATTGTTTTCAACAATGTTTACCCTTCAGTTGCGGCGTGTCCCTGCAACAATGATATTACTATAAAATCAACAATGTTTACCCTTCAGTTGCGGCGTGTCCCTGCAACAATGATATTACTATAAAATCATCTATATAGTAGGAGACAGCTTCACTAGTTTGAAAAGTATATATTTTGGCTGTATGTTAGAAATGAGAAAATACCAATATGTCTGCTTAAAACATCCAACCAGAACCATCTTTACCCCCCCCCCAAAAAAAACAAAAAATCACACAATTTTCAACTTTGAATTCTATTTATGGCTGTTATTTCCTATTATTTTATGTGAGCTTACAGATTTTTCAACGTTTCGTTTTTCCTGTCACTATAGATGCGAGATTCGTACTCGTTGCTTCTTACACTAACGGATGGCAGACTCGGTGAAGGACAATATGTAAGTATAGGAAGAATGTGAGATCAGAGTTATTGGTCACTTCAGAAACATTCCAAATTAGTATGATAAAAACATATACAATTTTCTGCCAGCGTTTACACTTTATACTAGTTATTTTTTAACTGTAGTTAAGATTAAATACGGTGAATTCGCCATGTTGGTAAAGTATGGTGCAACATTAACAGACAATCATTGTCAACACCTGTTTACAGGAAATTATACTTTCATAATGCTGACAAACTGTTGTAGTATATTCATGAGTTAGACCTAAACTTGTTGTAAAATGCAAAGTCAAGAATAGGCTACGAATTCTAGTCCCTACCTGGAATTTATTGAGTTGTTCGTGCCTTTTGTTATATTCTGTTATCACAACGTTTTGTTCTTTTTTTTCTAGATTACGCAGCCTATGTTAATAATTGTGGAAGACATCAACGACAACGAACCTATCTTTAAAAGCTACTCTTCAAGCCTCTCTATTCGCGAGGTGAGTGAGTATTTTTTGGGACGAATGTACAGCAATATATATAAGGTTACAAAAATAAGTTTACTTCCCGTAACCTGTAACACGTTCTAGACTTTTACTCTTAGATTTACACTTTTAGTCAGTTGTTTCATTTTTGACTTTTTATCCACTATTTCACACCTTTATACAGAATTGAGTACATTATATTAAACAGTTTTGAATATGCAAACCGGCAAGTTACATGACAGTCACAGCTGATATAAAGTGGCAGTAGAACAGCGTGTTATCAGAACTACATTTTGACGTTATTTGGCGTTCGTAGGTAGTGTGATACCACCTAAACGTTATCGCTTTTAGGAAGGGTATGAAACAAACCTTTACGACGTAACATATTTTTATACACAAATCATAAAGGTGTGTTCAGATAGGGAATTAAAAATTTCCAAGACAGGGACAGTCTTTGTATTTAATATCATTTTAAACAGTGGAATATATATATAAATCATCTTGGGGTACCAGAACCAATCCAGAAAGAGACCTGCAACAAGTTGTACCCCAGCTGTGGTAAGCAAAGTGAGGTGACTCGTAACAGGTGGGAATCTACGAACACAAAGTCAGTGGCAAAAGCCCCAGTTAACAGTACATAATACGATCAAAAAATATCTGCGTCTGGAAGCCCCACAACGGCTCAGCGGTAAGTCTTAGTGTTAAAAATCGTATTGTGTGGCATCGCGCTTAACAACAAAACAGCTAGAAACGAGCCAACTGTGTGAATTTAACAAGATAAAACTTCCAGTTATCAACCGTCACTTATATTTTCTTTGAGTTTAATTAATTTGCTACTGGTATAGGGCCTAAAGTTGTAATTAAAACATTAAAAATGTTTTGTTTTCAAAATAAAAGTAAGTCAAACTTTTTTAATTTTCCTGTGCAAGTACGAAATATATTGACTATTTGCGAAGTGCACTCAAAGATTCTGTAATGGAAATGATTTTTTGATAATTATATAATCTGATATGTTTGTGAATGGATGCTGTTGTTCTGTTAACTTTCAAACTCTCCTATTTGTCATCAGGATGCAACTCCAGGAGTCATAGAAACTGTTGAAGCTACAGACAGAGACCAGGGTCCTTTTGGACAAGTAATATATCAGTTACAGGTATATGCTGCCACCTATTGAAAGTAAAATATTTGTAACTTGCGTGTACATGTTTCACATATAATTAGCTATCACATAGCTTTCGCTACAAAGCTATTTTAATTTACAATTTAAATAAACTATTTTGTGCACTTTTTAAGTCCCAGTTACTAATTTCTAAAAATTATATTTTAATACTTAATATAATAGAAATTGAGGGACTCTCCACAAGTTTTTTTTCATGATAATAATGAATAACGGTGGAAGAAATTTATCCCAAATCAGTTTCTATCCAACAAGCTTCATTAGCTGTTTTAACCATCGTGTGCGCCTTTTTTCTCCCCTAGAACACAGACAGTGACGTCACTGACACATTTGCCATTCAAACCTCCAACGGTCAAGGTGTTATCAGTCTTGTTGGAAAGTTGGACTACGAGAGAAAATCACTGTATCAGTTGAGAGTTTTAGCCGTCGTAAGTTCATTAGCTTTGAACTATCGCCTTTTACCCCATTATGTATATCTAGTTTTGATTACTTTATGAGGTTCTTAAACATATTGATTATCACATCATTATTAAATACTCTGATATAAGTAAACAACGTAGAAGAATGTGAGACTTATATTTAAACAACGTGGAACTGGAATGATGTGAGATTTAGCTATTTAAGTTAAAGAGGGTAGAATCATATAAGGTTTGAGATTTAATATTTATATAAACAGTGTATAACAACGTAAGATTTAATATTTATCTAAACAGTGTACAACAATTTAAGGTTTAATATTTGTTTGAACAGAGTATAACAATGGAAGATTTAATATGTAAACAGAGTATAACAATGGAAGATTTAATATATTTTTCAACAGAGTATAATAATGTAATATTTAAATATTTATGTGAACAGAGAATAACAATGTAAGGTTTAATATTTATTTCAACAGAGTATAATAATGTAATATCTAAATATTTATGTGAACAGAGTATAACAATGTAAGGTTTAATATTTATTTCTACAGAGTATAATAATGTAATATTTAAATATTTATGTGAACAGAGTATAATAATGTAATATTTAAATATTTATGTGAACAGAGTATAACAATGTAAGGTTTAATATTTATTTGAACAGAGTATAATAATGTAAGATTTAAGGTATATTAAAGTAACGTAGAATGATATGAGATTGAAGATATACTTAAACAATATAAAATATAGATTTAAGTTAAATATAAACAATCTAAGATAGATTATATTTAATAACTATCTAAGCCTCTTAGGAGAAGTGAGAATTAAGGTATGTTTAAATTCTAGTTTCCTCACTTTTCCGACAGGCTTTTATGTTTATTTTAACATTTCAACCATTTTTTTTTTTGAGAATGTACTATGCTTAATAATAAAGTCAACAATATAATGTTTCACTTTTGAGGATCGAGCTAACTCAGGCAGACGGAACACAGCAACAGCCGCCATATTGGTTAAAGTCGAAGACGTTGAAGACCAACCTCCTGTGTTTACAATTGTTCCTCCAATCACTCGCATTCCAGAAGACCTTCCATTGGTAGTAACACGAACTCCACTATTTCTAGTGCAATAAATATGTTGTCTCATAACATATATTTTTGTTGTCTGAAAGTATATTTCACGATCGTTTTCCTAAAGTTTTACGGAAATATAAAGTTCAGGAAATTTGTGCAGTTCATTGTATTATGTGATATTAATTCATTTTGCATGTTTGTTGTAATAATATCTGATATTAATATTATCTTACGATCAGGGTAAGCAACATAGTCTAGCGAAACTAAGAATCAATGTGGTAATGGGTGTAGCTAAATAAATACACTTTTTTTACGTTCTTACTTATATTGTTTAAAGACTGTTTATTTGGATTTCCAACATCATTGTTCAGTTTTTTATAATAATATTGAGTTGACGAAGAGGAATATTTTAATAATTCGTAATAAAACTTATAATTATTTAAGATTTGTTTAAAGGATTTTTCAAAAACTAATTTAACACATATTGTTTATGATGGGATGTATGAATACAGTGTTGTTTAATGGGAGATTTCAACAACCTGTTTTAATATATGGTATTGTTGATGAAGGGATTTATGGATATAGTGTTGTTTAATGGGATATTTCAACAACCTGTTTTAATATATCGCATTGTTGATGAAGGGATTTATGGATATAGTGTTGTTTAATGGGATATTTCAACAACCTGTTTTAATATATGGCATTGTTGATGAAGGGATTTATGGATATAGTGTTGTTTAATGGGAGATTTCAACAACCTATTTTAATATATCATATTGATAAAGGGTTCCTCAGTGCTCACTGTAAAAGCTGTGGATGGAGACAGAGGAATCAACAATGATGTTAAATACAGGATCAACAAAGGTAGGGACTTTTTGTGATAACATCATTGATTGTACTGGATATCTTTAATGCGTTGTATTTCAGTTCCAGAAGGAATTCTTTTGTTGATATTTATAACGTTAGAATTAATAAAAGCAATTTATCATTTATATTAAGTTATTTAATAAGATACTGAATTACAGAAGTTCGAAACTAATTAGTTTGGACTAGTTTGCAAGAACCTCTTTTTTTTCCGTCAGCTTAATATATTTCAGTTTAGAACCTCTGACGACTGTGGTTCTAAATAGATAATCGTTGAAAAATAATAAGAAAATAAAACTTATTTTACTTACCTTAATCAATTAATAACATATAATTTTCGCACAAGGCCGAAGGTTTCAATGAAAATAAGTACAAATAACTTAAGTTCTCTAGTTACTACATATCGTAAAACTACGTCTCGTTACGGATATAAGTACAGTGTTGCATCTTTCATTAAACTCAAACATAAAATATTCATTTAAAAAATCTGTTTTAGGTGGGAATGGCCTCTTCCTTATGGACCGTGATAGTGGGGTGGTAATCGTGAAAGAACCGTTGGATAGAGAAAGCGTCGATAACATCGATAACAGAAACGGGGCATTTATCTTGGAGATCGAGGTAAGCCTTTGTATTATTAGCTTTTCTCATTCGCACTATAAAAATTAAATAATAGCGTTATTTGCATATTTTATTAAACGAATTAAGACAGTAATATTTAAAACAATAACAGAGAACTATTGTGAGTTACTTCACTCAGTTGAATATTTCACAGGACACTTAATATTTTTTACGTTACTTTAGAACGAATTCGCGTGCTAACTTGACACACTACGTTTACCGTGAGTGAAATAACTAACGTACAGTTTGTTCTTAAAAAAAATGAGCAGGCATTTGACACTGAAACAGCAAGTTGTTGTTAGGAACGTCGTACTCGAGTTGTTGCATCGCACAGATTTACCAGGTTAATAATCATAACATTATCCTACTTAAACATTTTTAAACATATCAGAATAAGGGTTAGTACTTTGAAAAAAAATAAATAAAAATACATGAATTTTCTAGGCGATTGAGGACGCTCCTTTCGTTTACCCTCCACCAAGCGTAATAACCGAGGTTACCATTATCCTCACTGATGTAAATGATGAAACTCCAACGTTTCGCAGTAAAAGTTATATTGCCGAAGTCAACGAAAATGCACAGGCCAGTGTTCCAGTTAGTTTTATAGGAAACAGTGTCCCAGAGGTGTTTGATCACGATCAGGTTAGATCGAATAATAAGATTACATTATTTTATAGATTTGTGATCAACAAACATAGGTAAAATGGTCAGTGATACTCTTAGAGAAGAACTGGACTACAAAAGTAGCTCAAGTGGACGCAACGTCGTCCTTTTCACTTGAGATAGTTTTGTTGTTTAGATCTCCAAGTTCATCTCTACAATTACCACTGTGAACTAGGTAGTTGTTGTCCATTTTACCTTTGTTTGTTTGATATCAATATATATTTATTCAAGTTAATTTAACCTATGCATACCCCATTAGGTTTGCTTTCCATTGTAATAATTAATAGTCTATTAATTTAGTGCAAACTTTAGAAATTATATTTAAACAATATTATTTTAATTTGTTTTAAATTTAATTCATTGTGATGTTCATTTAAACTATAAATTGACCATATATCACATTAGTTTAATATGTATTTACTCAGTTTGGATAAAATTAATTCCATTAGCATTAATTCGAATTATATAGGTTGATTTAAACTGTATTAATTGACGTTCAATTCCGGTTTAATTGTATTACTTGGCATTAAAATAAGTTAATTCAACTTCTATTAAGGGATATTGAATTAATATGATTTACCCTGTTTTGATTCGTGTTGGATCTGTTTGATTTAATATTCACAAACTCAAATTATAGAATATTAATTCTAAAAGAAAAAAATTCTTAAATTCGAGTAAATTTTAAATTTCATATTATATCATGGTGTTTTAAACTATATTTGATATGCTATGTAAAATGAATTAATTTCATTAACTAATGTGTAACAATATACTCCACTATGTGTTATTTTTAGATTACGTACAATTAGATAATACCCATTTTTGATATTGGTTCAAATTCTGTTGATTAATACCATATTAGTTCGAACTGCATTGGTTTATATTATGTTAGGCTAATTTCAACTGATTTGGGCAATGAGCTTAGCTATATTATATTACATTAATTCAAGTGAAAATGAAATATTCAAACATTCTTCGAAATGTACCGAATAAAAAGACTATGACGTCACAATTGATTTAGCTGTTAACTGATAAAAGAACTTTATTGATCTTATAAGGTTGATTTTTACATGGACTAGATTAGTTAAAACAAGAAAATGAACTAAAAGGCTTAAAACGTGCAATAAAGTTGGTGTTTACAAAAACAATATATCATAACAACAGTTAGGATTATCTTGACCTATACATTACTAAGTTTTTCTAAATAAATAAAACGAACTGTTTTCAATCAACAGGAACGTATTTGATTTTTACACGATGAAGTACATTTTCATAAATAAAACGAACTATATTGATTTATTAAGTATATATTTGACCTCTGCTTAATTAAGCATACGTTTTTTTTAATAAATAAAACGAACTATATTGATTTATCAAGTATATATTTGACCTCTGCTTAATTAAGCATACGTTTTTTTAAATAAATAAAACGAACTATATTGATTTATCA